TGAGGTAGACAAGAGGCGTAGTCAAGGTGATGTTGCGGTGCGTGCCCATGACGCCTTCTGGCAGAGTGTGTTTAGCCGCATGATGGAGCTGGACAATGAGCTCCCCACGCATTACGTCACAAATGAGTGGCAGCCCAAGCTCACCCAGATCGATCGAGTGTTCGTATCTATGCCGAGCTGGGCTGCCCTGCAGCAGCACTTCGTTGCGCTCACGGAGGATAAGCCTGAAGACTTGCACGAGAGAGGCATAAGTGACCATGTTCCCGTCGTGATCTCGGTGTCGGCCCGTCAGGTGGCGCCCGCCGAGGAGCAGAGGATCCCCTCCCACTTCTTCAAGGACCCTGAGTTCGCTGCGCAGTACGAGAGGCTGCGCGTGCTCGTCGATTGGTCCAAGCTCGGGGTGTATGCGACGAGGAGGCGGCATAAGGAGCTGATGAAGGAGGCCGCGAAGTACGTGAGGGATCTGCGCTGCCGCAACCCGAAAGGCGAGACGAAGCTGATGGTATTTCGCTCGATGTCTCGAGCGGTCTGGCGGGATGATGTCGAGTTGGGACAGAGGCTTCTCTTGACGTGTGAGATCGCGCCGACGTACATCTCGGTCTCGAGCGTCCAGGTCTCTCTGATCCACCCGCCGTCGTTCGCTAGGGACTTCGCTGAGGCCCAGCGCTCGCACTTCGAGGCTCGAGCGGCTGCCCTCTCGGAGCAGGAGGCGAAGGCGTTCGACCCCACATCGTTCAAGATGATGAATGCTGCCAGGCGCAAGCTGCGCAGGCGGGAGGCCTTGTGGTCGCCCTTCAATCGCACGCTCAAGTTGCAGGGCATCAAGGTGCCCGACGACGAGGGGCACAAGGTGCTTACGGACCAGGTCGACATGGTCGAGGCCCTCCGCAACCACTGGGCCCCGATCTTCCAGGTCAAGCCGAAGGTTCCCAACTGGCAGGTCCTAGCGGACAGGTACATCAAAGAGCACGCGCCGCTGCTAGAGGTGGCCGATCTGCTTCCCCCTGATCGGCAGGCGCTGTTGCGCGCTGCTGCTCGTGCCAAGGAGTCGGCGCCTGGGCCTGACGGCCTGCCGTATGCTGCCTGGCGTGCTTGCCCCGCAGCGCTGGCTGCGCTGGAGGATGTGGTCCTGGAGATCGCGTCTGGCAGGCCGCCGCCCGTCGACTGGAACGACCACCTGCTCGCCTTCCTCCCGAAGGGCTCGTTTGAGGAGGATCTAGTGGAGGGCGCATTTCGCACGCCGTGCACCACGCGGGCGATTGCGCTCAAGAATGCGGACTGCAAGCTGGTGGCATCTGCGGTGAATGCGCGGATCAAGGGGCCCATTGAGAAGGCCTCGCCTGCCCCCCAGCGGGGCTTCCTGCAGGGCCGCAACTTCCTGGACAACATCTGCCTGCTGGACGCCACTGCGCGCGCTGCGGGGCTGCAGGAGTCGGGCAAGCCCATCATGGCTTTGTTCGACTTTGGCGACGCGTTCCCGTCACTGATGACCGAATGGATGCTGCTCATGCTGATCCGGTCGGGGTTCGTAGGAGGCGTTCGGTACGTGCTGGAGGCGCTCTACTGGCTTCCCACGGCGTATGTGGAGCTCGCGGGCGCGATGGTGCGTTTTGTTTGCGTCTCGTGCGGGCTCGCACAGGGATGTCCGTCGTCTGGGAGTCTCTGGGCCATTGCAATGAACCCGTTCATACATCACATGATGCAGTACACGGACCGAGATGCCAGTCGCCTCTCCGCCATCGGGGTATGTGCTGACGACGTGGGGGTGGTGCTGCGATCGCGCCACTTGCTCCGTGGGCTGTGGCGGGCCTTCGCTGCTGCTCGGGCGCTCGCCAGCTTGCACCTGAAGCTCCACAAGTGCGTGCTGATCCCGCTGGAGGGCAAGCTCTCAGACGAGCTCGTCGCAGATCTCAGAGGATGGCTGGCCGAAGCTCTGTGCGAGTGGAGCGGCATGCAGGTGCGCGACCAGGCGGAGTACCTGGGCTTCGCTGTTGGCCCTGGTGCGACGCAGCGGGACATCTGGAGGAAGGCGGCGGCAAAGTGGCTCTCCCGCGTCGTGGACATCGCGATGAGTGGTGCGCCCCCGTCGCTGGCTGCTCGGCTTTACAATCGACGTGCTCTGCCTGTCTTAGGATATCTCCAACAGCTGGCGGCCACCCCGAAGATGTTGCTGGCCAAAGAAGGGTGGGCGGTCGCCAAGCTGTGGCGCATGCCCCCACAGGCGCTGGGCAGGCATGACTTCCTGGCCCTAGGTGCGTGGGCGCCTGGCCTTCGTATCCGCTCATTGCTGGCCACGGGCTGTGCGGCGGCCATGCGATCGGCCCTCTCCACGGTGAGCAACTGGAAGGAGCTGCACGCATGGCTGCAGGCACAGGTCCAGGACCACGGGAGTCTATGGATAATTGGCAGCGGCACTTTGTCGCCGCCGTTTTGGCAGACCACGCCCATCGTACAGTTCCTTGCTTCTGCGCAGGATGATTTTGTGAATGATCGTGCGCTC